CACGTCCACATGATCTGACCTTTGCTTGTTCGGCATCGCACAACGGCATAACGTATCGAAATTCTGAAACCAACCGTATCGAAAACCGACCTACCGTCTGCCTCACCGGACCGCAAACACTCTGTTTCGCCCTCGAACATCGGAAACTGAGGAGTGAGCGCTCCATTTGGAAATGCCGGGCCTCAGGACCAATCCAAGTTTTCACCAAACCCTGCAGCTGCTGTGAGCAGGCTGAGGAAATCTCGTCATCGGATTCCGCACGTTGTGAACGGTGATGCTTGCTTGAACACCTCAGAAAGCAGAGATAAACATGTCTACTCTCTGTATCTCACTGTCGGCAGTGCCCTCCTTGCTTGAACCAGGACATCAGGCAGGCCCCCTCTCCGTCTACGTGGGTCCGTGCTTTGGAATTCTCAACGCAGTTGACATGTCATGCTGGTGTTATTGGGAGCCCGGCCGTTGTGCACCATCATCTCCACGACAACGATCTGCAGCATGAATTCCCATGCTAGGTGTTCCCTCAACACTCAGCCGGGCAATCTACTCGAGACGCTCGACCTTCTCGTCTCTGCCATACACAACGATGGGGCCGTCAATTCCATCACCGAACCGAGCCTGGGCATCCAGGCCCACGCAATTGTTCCAGGGGTCTCAGGCTGAGCCGGCGGCATTGGTGAAATCATAAGACTCGCCGTTGACCTGTCGGCAAGTGGCGCTGGTGTGAACAAACACCAAGGCTACTGTAACTGAGGAAACAACATGGGCTTGCATGGACACCAGCTCTGCACCTTTGCATTAGTTTTGCTCGTGAGAGATGTACAGAAAAGGCCGAAACCCAAGCGTTTGGGGGGCCGACTTCTGGAGGCGGTGAAGCTGATGACCGCCGCCGAAAAGGACCCAGTGCCCTCACATGGCCTCGGGAGTCACTCCATTGCGAGAAGGGCATAAGCAAATCGGAGACGGTGTGTGCCAATGAAATCAAATCGATAAAACTCTGAAATCAAATCAGACCCTGACAATCCGGTTACCAAGTTCACGTCGATACGGCACGGGAAAATGGCAGGATCCTGAGCCAGTTGCGGACTCCGGGATGCAAGCAGTGTGCAGTGCAACCCTCGGAAATGCCTGACGTACCATTGGATTGACGAGTTCTGGGACGATCTCGTAGCCCGATATCATTCGGGAAGTCCTTGTACGGCTTTGGCTGTTGAAACAATCGGCCTCCTTGTAGCAGCATAGCTTCCTGGGCCTCGGGCTTAACAGTCCCGTTTGCATCCATCTGGCGCACTTGGAAAAGGTTGATGACCGGCGTCTGTGGCGGATTCCTGGCACGTCCGGCACTGGCATCGTGTGCTTCACAGAAGGGAACCGACAATTCACGACTCAAACATGACTTGCCCGCTGGACTTGGACCATGAAGCGAACCGGACTCTGAGCTGGGATGGACCTGAAGCTCGTGAATTCCGAGGACAGAGGACAGCCTCGTTGTCTGCAGGCGCATGCCACTTGCAGTTCTTCACCTGTTTTCTGCTCAGCATTTGCTCAAGCCTGACCTGCCATTCGCTGCTCGCCCAAGTACTGCTTCAAGCGAGGAAGCATGGCAGCACCTATCATCCTCAGCTTTTCCCGAAACCGGGCGAAGTCTTAGCATCTCGGATCTGCAGAGAATTTGTGCTAAAGCTAGTTGAAACACATCAAACCCACTTCCATGCATTCAGTCTGGAATTCTCTAGGATGCCAAAAAGCAGTTGGTTTGTATTTGTACGAACCCAAATAATTCAAAATCTTATTGCAGTGCAGACCAGGGTCAGCTGCATCGGATGTAGCAGCATTATTGGCGCACAGAAATATGCAAGATTCGCATCTGACGAGAAGGCGCACGCAGCCGACACTTCGCAGGCATCATACACCCTCACTCTGGGACCCGAACTTCCTTCGAATATTGTCTTGATCAGAGGCAATCCGAAGGCGAGTGTCTTCTGACTTGCCTGAAGTGCACGCGGGCGTCAGCCAACAGCCACGCCGAAATCAAGCCCTCGTTGCGCAAAAGCTCATCAGATAAGCTCAGTTTGCGAGTCCGAGTGGCTGCAAAAGACGCTGCGACTGCATCCGCCGGACTTATCCCGATCCATGTCAAGATCCTTGCCAAACGCGCATCACAACTGCAGAACATTCCACGGACGAGTCTGGGAACATGCTTCTGGAGGTCGGGAAAATACTGAATTGCCCAGGGTCTTGATGAAGCCCGTCAGTGCACCGAAGTGCAACGCGGGCATCAGGACTCCGAGGACCACGAGCTCTTTGCCACTCACCCTTGACAGCTCACAGCCCACTGAGGCGAGCCGAGCAGTAAAGCAGCCGTGCCCGTGCAACAACCCATGCAAGCGAAGGGCCCAAGGCCAGCTGCGAAGGCATTGCTGAAGGCGTTCCAGACGATCAGAAGCAACAGAGACTCCTTGGCCGCAGTCTGTTCTGCTCTCGGGAGGGGCGGGTGACGGTCCCCGGGATCGACCACGGCACTCTCGAGCAGATGTCATCAAGTCTGTTTCGCGGCTGGGTTTCCGAAAGCTTCTTGAAGGCGGCACTGTTCTTGGTGTGAAATCGCTGCAAAGCACCGGAGTTTCGAAGAAGCTGGCCAATCACTACCGGCACGACCACCTCCATCAAAGAGTGACGTTTAGGCTACGAGCTCGGACTGCTTTCTGCCAGAAGGAGGCCTTGACGCCAAGTTTCTGCACAGCCGGCCCCAGCTGGATACTGGTCTTGGCAGGTCCGACAAGTTCCAAGCGAAAGCCCTACAGTAAGCGGTTCCTCCGGCTGCACCACTTTTCTGCTCCGAGGCTCTCTGGCGCCGAGTGTGATGAGCAGCAGTGCGGGAGTTACGCAAACTCCTTGATCTCTCGCGCACAAAGCTAGGCAGTTAGGAGAGGTGGGCCACTGAGCCGAGCCTAACAAGTTCCCAAGGATGGCATTGGTCAAAGCAACCGCAGTGTTGGCTCCTCGCACATGCAAATCCAGCTCTGACTCAGCCCACATGTCCAGGGTCCTGCAGACTTGGCCAGGAGAACACACCTGTACAGCGGGCATCTCTTGTTAAGCTCCAAGCCCACGCACCGACATAATATCCTATGCCTACGACAGCCGATGATACTGCGTTTCCTTGCAGCCAGCGTGCATGTTCACAGTCGTCGGCAAGCAAGCCTCGGCTAGGCACCAGTGTTTCCTGTTTGTCTCGTTCCTTCTCGTTGTTTTTCTTTCTGTTGCGCTCGGCCATGACGCGCGATCACAAGCCGTTCGTTTAGTTTGGGCCTCTCCTCCGGATCTTACGCATCGCTGTTCGCAGGAGGGTGTGGGCAATCGTCCTTCTCTCGCACACAGACCTACTTAAAGACGAAAGGACGCGAAACCTGCATGTCGATCACGCGCAGTTTCAGCCCTGGTACCGTAATCATCAGGCCATCGAGCAGTTGTCCATGAAGCCAAGCACCCCGATGAGCAAGTTGCACCAAGGGATAGGCCAGCAGCGGAATCCTAGGATGGCAGATGTCTCAAATCGTCGAGACACTGCAAGCGACAGATCGGCATGACTGCAACAGCCAAGCATCAGTCCCATGGACAACCTCAGCGATTCTTGGCACAGAAAGCGGCGAAACTCCAGCTCTGTCAAAGGCCAAGAAACGTCTGCGTAAGCAGGTTCAAGCGGAAGTCCAGAGCTGCTCTCTGCATCTCACTTAATTTCAAGCTGAAGCCGGACAAGAGGAAAATGACGGCAACGGCATAGTCACCTTAGAGCAGCCCTTGCAGCATCCCCAAGATCGGACTCCGGGACTGCAGCCATTGATGCCGAAACCCAAATCCCCCATGCGTCGATGCTCTAACCAGGGGCTACTTTTACAAATTTTGGCACATAATTAACGACCATGCTCTGCCCACACTTGAATCTTGGCCGGGGTGAATCTTGTCTGTTCAACTGCTGCTAAGACTCTGAACGTATCCACGTGCAGAAGGCCATGGCTCTTTGCCAGACTTGGTGCCAGTCGTGCCAAGATCACCGCGACCAGCATCCCCACCAGGAAGAAGTTTGCATTGAGCTTGCTTCCTGCTTTGCCACCATGCAGCCCGCAACAGGCGACACACTTCATGCTGCCGACATTGCTCCCTGAAAACAAGTCCAAGTGGCTCAGAGATCTGAGCCATGTGGTATTTGGGTCCGAGCTCGGTGAGCAACTGCGGCAGGGAGCCTCAAAGAACAGCATTGTGTCATTGTCGGAACAACACGAAATGACTTGAGAGTCAAGCAACTCGGCACCGACTCTGAGATCGAAATAGCAGGCACGAGATTGAGCTGAGGAAGTATCCACCAGTCTTTGGGTTGGTTCTTCCTGGCATTCAAAAGCTTGCAGAGAATGACTCTTTACGACGTTTGGCTCAGAAGCGATATGCTTAAGACTTAGGATTTCGATGCTCTGCTGGCCGACAGAGCCGGGCTTAGTATGTGGGATTGGAACGGTGTCTTAGCAAGCGCCAGCCAATGGCATTCGTCCAGCCGGCACATGTCGACAAAACTGTCTTGCATGAGTGTGCAGGGCACTCATTCCTAGTCATGGGCTCAGGACGGCCCCCCAACCCGCAAGACAGGACTTGCCAATCTATTGCCTTTCTGGGCTTACGTCCGTGCAACAACGACGAACACGGAGTAAGTGAGACAGTGCGATGTGATGACGAGTTGGAAACCTTCGCGTCAGCATTGGCGGTTGCTTTTGGTCGGTGTCGCGCAATACATGGCCTGGATTACAGACTAGCTCCGATTCTAGCACCACTGCTTTCGGAGGAACAACTTTCAGCGATAGGAATGTTGCCACTATGTACCACATTGGCGAATTGATCTGAACGAGCTGCTTCGTGACCACATTCCAGGATGTTGTCCAATAAACTCTTGACAACCCTAATTCGTCGTCCTCACACCACCAAGCAAAGGCCACACGCTGCATGTCTTGTGACATCTCCAATGGAAAAGCCAGAATCCGTGATTTCTCGTGGAGCTACGCTGCTCCCAAACGCTTTCCCAAGTAACGGTGAGATGATCTTGCCAGGCCGCCATGGAGGGGCGTAGCAGCACATGCCGACTTAGTGACTTAGTGGGCCCTACATGTCAAGGGCCACTGAACCCGACTGCACCCAATACCATGTATACATACTGAGCTGTTCTTCAAAAGTTAAGTTTAGTATCTTGAGACAGCAGTAGATAGAAAGCGAGCGAGGAACGAGCCGAGGAGTTCACAAGATTGAAGATCTCACCCACAAACCCTCGCTCATCCCAACATGGCATGTGAGTCCTAGAGTCCAAAGGTGAACCAAAACCAATAGAACACGAGCCTTTGAAAAGCTTTCGGAAACAGCCACCCGCTTTAGCTGCTTTCACAAGGCCCCCGTCCTCCAGATGTCTCCCTTGACTGACCGAGGTGGATGCCGTCTGAGACGCGCTCAAAGGCGTGATTCACCTGGACACTCAGGCCGCGACCCACACCCTGCGAGAGCACAGCGAAACGACACCACCGTGTCTGGGCTTTGCACTTGCCATGTGGGGTATCTGCAACCGGGTGTGGGTCGCATGAACGTACTCTTGGCGCAGAGGGTGCAGAGGAGGCAACGAGGCAACGTGAATCTCTTGGCGCTTTGAGCCGAGACGGCCTTGGCCTTGAAGCTTCCTCAAGCGTGTTCCCCGACTGCGGCTTTCACTGGGAGGAAGGCTCATCCATGAGATGCCAGTTTATGGTGTTTGCACCTGTGGCACAGCAGCGCAGGAACGGATGAAAACTACCTGGCATGATGGTACTGCACCACCGAGATAAATCATCGACTCGGCTGTGGCACTGCAGCTTGGTACTGTCTTCGTCATTGCACCATCCAGGAAGACGTACTGGGGGCAACGGCCTAAAAAGCAGGCCGACATCGCGTCGCCGTTCGTGGTTTTAGGAGACCCAGCTCGTAGACACGACGGGCTTCCGGCGATCTCCCGGTTCGCTGAACATGTAGGACACAGGGGCCACAATTTGAAGGCGGTCCCCAATGGCCTGGACATGGATGTTGAACGCACCCAACCAGCCACACGCATGCCGCATGAATGCCCGAAGGCCCTGAGATCGCGGCAACAATGTCTGGAAATGACATGTTGAAGTCCAGCCTCACAGTCACGAGCAGTGCAATTCCGACAACATCTCCACTCTCGCATACTCTAACATCGAGCGAGCTGAACAACCTTTTCACCTAACAGCTAGCTCCCTAAGGCTCGTTTCGCAGAGCTATCCGTAAAATGACCCAGCCCTCCAACTAGATGTGGCCGATACAGGTTCGGTCAACACGGGCGAGCAACATATTGGGGGAGTGTGCAGACAGCTTTTCCGGCAATGCGGAGGCCATGGGCGGCCGTTCGGGTACATTACTCTTGTCGGCCACTGCCGGCCTGTGCTTGATCAACGCGTTGGTGGACTCCGGGGCCAGGAACGCAAAAGACTGGCAAGCTCTTCGAAGTGTGCAAAGTGGGTTGCATACGACCATGACTCAAGCTCTCATCGCAGACTCTAGCAGCTCCTGAACGGCCGTGTTGATGATAAACCCAGGGATATAACTCTCGTCAATGATGTTGTTGACGGTCCTTGGACTCGTGACAGCGCACACACACACACACACACGCACACTCCTCTTGTAGGTCCGACCGACATGCGCTGAGGTGACCGCAAGTCTTCATACGATTGCACATGCCAGTCTTCCGGGGTCGCGGACGTCGTCTGCGGATTTGATACCTTCGTGTGCCGCCCAAGTTGATCCGGCAGCAAGCAAGACGGCCAAAGCGCGCCTCCAGCGTCAAGACGTACAGCACACCCTTTCTCAGGTACTTCATGTCCTGCGTCAGCAGCAGCCTGCGAAGAGCACGACGCAGATGACTTAGACTCACAGTTGCGAGCACCACTGTTAACAGCTAACAGAGCCCTGCATGTTTTTGCACCTGCCACGGCTAGACGGTGTCTGGTCGCCCTGACACACCAAGTGACTAGGCCTTGGACCGCATCGTTACTTGCAGAAAAACACCCGACTGGTTGTCAGAGCATCGTAGAGCAGCACGCAGATTTTTCTTACACGTATTCATGGCCAAGCAGCAGAAACTCGGCCCATTGTAGTAGCTGAGCCTTGCCAGGTCTGGACTGTGGGCAAACCAGAACACGTTAATGTTCAGTCACTTGGCACTGCTTGGAACCCTGCGCGCTCAGGTCCCGGAGCAAACGCTGAGATGTTGGGCCTGATAGGCACCACAGCACACAATAACTACCTCCTTTCTAGCTGCAGCAGATGACAGCATCCCTGCTCCCAACGTTCATCTCTTGAACCTCACTGAATATGCACCGAGGCGCATTTCCGACTCATGCACCCTCCTCGGCTGAAGAAACGTAGACAAAGCAGGACGTATGCACATGTTGAAACCATTGAAGCCATCTTCACCCATCCGGCCAAAGGCTTCTGGTGACCGGCCAAGCTTCAATGACATGACGCAAACCGTCGGCACCAGGAAGCCACTGGGCGCGGTCACCCTCACGGGGAGATCATCATGTGACTGTCACGGGTACAGGATCGGATAAGGACTGTTGCAGGAGGTATGGTCATGCCAGTGACCGCAGAACAACTGTACGCGGTGAGTGCCCTGGCGCCTCAGATGGCCTCCATTTGGAACAGCGTTGACCGGGCGAAGCTGTATCGTCACCTTCAAGGCGAACTCACGGTGGAAAAACTCGAGCATACGGTTGCTGACATTTCGGGAGTGGCTTAGACATGTCAGCACCCGATCTGCAAATTGCTTCAAGCAAGCAACGGGCAATCTTTTGAAGGTAACAGCAGAACGATGCCTCGTTCGGTGTCTGGTAGTCTGAACGAGATGCAGCTGTGGTGGTGGGAATGATGGTCGTGTTCATAAAGGCCTCAGAAGGAGTGTCATGTCTGCCAACATGCTGCTGCCAGTCGCAGGTGCCAGACCCAAATATCTATGCCGGGGAAGGGTTCCGAAGCCTCGCAACAACTCAAGGTTGTCAAGCTTTCAAGACGCAACCTCAGCTGCCAAGCCTCACCATTGTACTCCAACAGGAAATAGTTGTACTCCTGCAGCCATCCGGTGTCCCGAGCGCAAGAAGACTTCATGCCAAAAGGCCCGGACGGGCGTCACTGGTGGATTGCGAAGCACTGAAAGTCGAAACCTGGCGGCAAGCGTCGAAGGCCACCACTTCATCTGACAGAACCGAGGCCCATTTTCTGGGCCATGGACAGATATGTGTTGAAGAGTGCGAGACCTCTCCCAGATTCCAAGCTAAACGGACCGGCCACGAGTCACCCCTTTTCCTAGTTGTGGCTCTGGGCCTGCTGTCCATGTGATCCGAGCCTTGCAGACACAAAGCTGAGAGACATGACTCCTTCAGTGTTCCTCATGCACGGTTTTGGAACGGTTTCATCTTGTTTGAACTGTTTGAATGCAAGCCTCGTTCTCCCGGCCGAGGCAGCTTTGGGTGTCGACAGCATCCGGCCAGGTACTGAGGTGCACAGGCGTGCAATTCTACATGCTGTGGCAGTTCAAGCCGCCAGACTGGGAGGAACAGGGAAAATGATCTTTCTGCTCAGTCTGTCGCTTGTATCGCTGAGCATATCCTCGGACCTGGTCACAACAACTCAGGGTACGAAGCTCTGGGTCGCTAAACCAGCTTCCCACATCAGCAGCAGAACGATTCAGACCAGAATCCACAGCATCTTTGGAAAATATCTTGACACCGCATGTGGCTAGTAAAGCAGATTTGCAGGTTCAACCTTTCAAAGAGCCCGGCCGTATAAGGAAGTCCCGGATCAAGCGGGACATTGGCCGGCCTGGGCATGTTTTTGAAGCACTTGCGTTCTCGTCAACCAATCAAGTCTTGGATCGCAGCACAGAAGGCAAGACTCCGTCCACCTCAGATGTGCCGTATGCACTTCCAACAAGCCAGGGAGAGTGTCAACAGTCTCTACTGGCCGAGCGAGCAGAGGGTAACAGAAGAGCCAGCAAGTGTCAGCTTGGCACGGTCTGGCCACAGCCGTTTAGCTTTTCAACAGGTCAGCACCTTTGCAGATTATCGCAGAAGCGACTCCCTTTCCAGGCTTGATGGAAAGCTCACTGCCCGTGTGTCGTCTACAAACGTCCAGACCTCTTTGAATGTAACACATTGTAACAGCACTTCATTGCTGTTGGTTTCTGGGGAACCTCCTGCTTTATCGAAAGGCCGACCCAGCCAAAACAACACAAACTCACCTTGCCCATCCACCTAACCTCGAGTCGAGAGGGTGGCTTCCAGGCAGAAACATGGCACCTCTCTATGTTAGCCTGCCTTCGAATTCGCAGCACTTAGCAACTCTGCAAGCAACGAGTCTGCCAGCTTCATGCAATCAACCGAGCCACTGCAGAGTCGTTGAATATCCGCGAGGAAGGCTTGGTGACAACACCTCGGCACGGCCGCAAATATCCGCAAATGCTCGCAGCGGCTCGCAGACTCGGCCCATAGACCCGCGAACTCCTGAGCAGCTCACGGCATTCAGCGTCGAAGACATAGCCCTCCGGTGCCTGCAGCCAGGAGACGTTTGCACTCGACAAGTCGTGCGACTGGTTACAGTGGCTAGCTTGGTTGCAGCGCACCCGCACTGTCATCACACTGGTGACGTCCACCTGCGTTCCGAGCCTCAGCGCTTCTGTCAGATGCCAAGGAAAGGGATCATCAGCTTCTGCCACTACCAGTACCCAAAACGAATCATTGCACGTTGCTTTCGCAAGTGCTTGAGCTCATCGCTGCATTTTGAAGATTAGCTGTGTAGGTCCTGAGGGCAGAACAAGCTAGAGCGCTGCTTGCAAAGCCAGAGCACCGAATAGAAGCCGACTACAAATCCAGGAATCTCACGATTCGGTCGATCATCACGGTAGCCCCTTGCATCATGACCAGTCGAGCAGTGACGTGTCCGGGCACCAGCATTTACTGCTCCGGCCTAGGGGGGTAGAACTGCCAATGCTCGAAATCACAGAACGTTTCTGGCAGCGTTGCATCGATGGCTCTCTCCTGTCAGGGATTATATTTGGCTCGCAGCAGTTGCAGCCGAGTTCCGCCGCCCACTCCTCCAATGTTGTGAAAGTACAATCAACTCGTGGATGCATGACCAGTCCAGCGGACACCTCGGAATGTGGAATGTGGCAAACAACCGGCAACTATTTGAGCTTTGAGCATGCTTCTTTAGAGCACGACCATCGGACGTGCGACTGCATACCCCGGAATCGTCGTGTTCTGGTCCAGGACAATCTCTTCGCTGATCTGAGATAGACCACTTTTATGCTGGCAAGGCTTCACTTGTCGCTGGGAAAAAAGCCGGGGTTCTTGCCAGACTATATGAAAGCAGTGTCCAGATGCCAGCTTGATCCAGCGGCACTGCCTTCAGGCACGAGGCATCACGAGGAACAGCATGAAAGATCAGACAAGACCATTTGACCTGTGGTGGGTTGGTTGCCGCGAGAGCAAACCTCAGAAGGAGCACCGCGGCACAGAACACCCACACACACATGCTGTACTCACAGAAAAGGCCAGGCAGCTTGTAGGTCATGCCAGGGATCCCTTCTGGGCCGGCGATGATGGAGATCTTGGCTTCTTTTTCTGTTCTGCATGTGGCTCGTCAATTGCAGGGAAAAGGAGGAGACCCGTGACTCTGAATGTATCCAGGTCGCCCTCGGCTGCCCGGTGGCAGTGATTTGAGCATAAAGACAAGTGGAATCGTACGGCAATTCCTGCGACGGAAGCAATTTATTGAACTCGCGATGCATGTGTACACATTGACAACATGTCATGCAAGTTTCAAGCCCGCTCCGGCGAGCTGGTGGCAGGTTTCGGCTGGCAGAACTGCTGGAAGACAAAGTTTGGAGGCCTGGTGAAACTGGGGTTCCGATGAAGGCTTCGCAAAAATCGCAGTTACCCTGGGTACTGGACCCGATGATCACCAGCCCGCCACCTTCCGGTATGCTCCTGCAAGGCAACGAATTCGGACCCTTCGGGTGATGAGGCTTCGTTTCATGTGAATGTTATCTTTCCAAATCCGTGTTTCTAAACAGCTGAGCATGCCACGTGACGGTGCGCAAGGTAAAGGTAATGTCCACCGGCATATTCATAATGCTGGTTGTATAGGTGATGGCCTGAAGAATATCAAGCCCCTTTTGTTGCGATTCGATGTACTGTAAACTGTCAAACAGGCTGCAACAGGCGTAAGACCCCAGCGCCATTGATCAAGCGCTGGACGACAGGGGCAGCCGCTGTGCCCGCTTCCAACCGGTTGGTCAACAGGTCCTGCGACATTTCATTTCCTAGCAGAAGAAAAATGGAATCACAACGCACCGACCTCATTGTATCCGAACTCGATGGTGAACTGATTGGCCGAGCCAGTTGGGGGCACCTCAAGCGCAGCCCTGCACCCCGGTCGGAAGCAAGATGAGAGTTTTCTGACTTCCCGGCCATGGGAATCCTGATCTTGCAAGCGAAGCCATAGATAACGCCAGGCCTGGGAAGTCCACGGCGTACAGAACATGCACTCACATAACACACTTACATATACATACATATATACCTGTGATGTACGCGTACGTACACTATGTGAGTGAGGCATGTCATCGCCCCTCCACCATGTCGGTGGAAGCACTCGGCCAACATGCAGTCATTTTCGCCGAGTGTTCGAGTTCGAGCATGTTTCACCTCGCAGCAAGCCCTTGCCTGCTCATAGGCCATCACTCCCGAGTGATGGAAATATCAACCTGCATCATTCCGTAAGGTGAATGCCAAACAAATCTTGCAGCGTTCACAGAACTACGCCGGAACTAATACACTTTCAAGTCCACAACCCGTCAATCCCGTCAAACAAGAAGGACAAGCGAATCTTGATACAGTCAGGCCGAACACGGCGATGCACTTCAAGCCTTGAACGGTTCCACATTGCAGCACTGGGCATGCCGCAGAGGAAACACGAGTCGCAGTCCAAAATATGTCCGGAGCTGTGGCATGAGCACGACTTCGCGAGGCAGATGTGGCGGGGCGAAGAGTCGCACCCCAAAATCCGTGTGGGAAGCAGATTTCGAGACCTCACCGGTGAGTCCCGAGAAGAGCCCCGTGTACTCCACAAATACACATACATGCTTGCACTTGCTGTCCCCTATGTAACTAACTTAATCACATGTTTATGTTCCTGCTGCTTCATGTTGTGGTGGGTTATCTCGCGATGTTTAATACCTATAACTTAATATCTATAAGTCGTTAACTTAAACAACAACATAACACTTATCGGGGAACGGCGAAATGTGATAATTTTCGCGTCAAAGCGGTTTGCTTCGGTGCACCTGTGTGACTTGATGTACGCACGCACGTAGATGCATGAAAGTGTAGCAGAGTAGCGATACATGCACACATGCATGAATGCTTGCATACATGCACAATCATACATACACAGCTACATACCTACAAACCAACATACCTACGCCTACAACAAACCTACATACCTGACCTACATACCTACATACCTCCATCCATCCATCCATCCATCCGTCCAGCACGCCAGCTGGCTAGCCAGTCAGCCATCCAGACAGACAGCCAGACGCAAACACACGCGTTTTGACAGCCAGCCACCCAGCCAGACAGACAAACAGACAGTCGAACATGCGCATACTTACATGACGTCTTCATGCGCGTGCACCCTGACGTAGGCACACATGGCTAGGCTCTTGCATATTCTGCGGTTCGGCATGGCTTCAGCTCAGGGCGTCCATGGCAGCTGCATGTAGTCCTGGCGTGAGTCGCTCTGTTTTCTGTGGCAAAATGGGATTCAGATTCAGTCAAAAGTGGCAGATCGGCCATCGTGAGAACCTGCAAAAGAGTGTTATTGCACCAAAGCGCAGCAACTCCAGACAGATATGGCTCAGCTAGAACTGGTACGGAACACCCAGCAGACCAAGGTGCGTGCGTTTTTCGGCTCTGAGTTCGGACGCGCAGGCTTGCCGCTGATAGGAATATCAGCCTTCCGGTGTTTCGGATCTTCGAAGTTTCGACTAAAGAGACGCCAGGAGCCTCTGCTCCTTCGACCACATTGAGAGGATTTACTCCGACACCCGGCGCCTGATACCTTGCGACCAAGGAAAGAAAGCAACCCTTGCGGTGTTCTGCAAGCACATCTAGGAAGGCCCTTGCCGAAAGTCCACTTGATCGAAGTCCCACTCGTAGCCGGCAGGTGCCGTGACTCGGATGGCCTGGGCATTCTGAGACGTTGCTGCCATGCTCAGAATCGTGAGCTAGGCTGTATGGACAAGTCTTGATATGACGACATGGATCGACACAGTGTCTGCAATTCAGCCCAGCAGCCCGGGTCGTGGGAAACGACACAATGATGGGAAGGACGGTGATGTCTGCTGGAGGAACCTTCAAAAAGTCACACCACATCTCTGCATTCATCTGGATAGGTCTGGCCCGAGGGCGGATCCCCTGACACGGTTGGTCGCGATGTAGAGAAGGCCACCTGGAAGTTCCTGGGCGTGAACTGGTAAGGACCGTGCGAGACAGGCCGTGATCACTTCGTAGAGTCACTCGAGCTCTCAGCTTGCAGCTCAGCCGGCATGCCCTGCAGATACATGCCCCAGCTCGTGTCTGGGCCCACTGGCACCTTTGAAGTTACGCTGGCATGGATAGCCCCATGATCAAGCGAGCGAGAGTCCATGCCGAGCAAAGCACACGCTCATTGACTCGAGCCGTTTCGTAGGTACCATCAACTCCATAGCCGGTTGCTTTGACATATGTCCAGAGACGCCTGGTTGCAATGCCGGGTCATGCTCAAACATGCTCAAACACTACAACCTCGAAGGGTCTTAAGCAGCCGGCCATTCATCGAGCTGGGTTCGGACGTAGATCGCGGCGTTTTGCACTTGGACTTGAAAGCCGTAGAAGGTTTGCCTGCCAACAGGCACAATCCATTACACAGCATGAAAGGCGATGCTACGGCTCTGCCCTGCCTCAACAAACGGCCTGTTGTTGAGAGCTTGGCCCGATTGTAGGTCAGCTCGGATTCCCTGCAAAGTCACACAAGACTGCAGAACATGCGACCGGGGTACAGTAGATTGATGCATGATGTGATGATGCATGCTGCTTTTGGGCCCCAACGAAGTTGGTGCACCAACACAAGGGATGAGGTCTCCCGTCGGCAGTGGCGACTGGTCAAACAGTCTCTCGGCAATTCTCCCGGCTCCGTTGCAAACATAGCTGAGCACGGGACAGTGCCACGACCTTCTGGAATGTAGTAAATCGGGTCGAGAGGAGCGGCTGAACAATACCTCTGCCGACACAGGCCATGCTGACGGTGGCCCATCAGGGCCAGTACTGGGATCTACTAGCGACTTGCGCAAGCCATCCACCCGGCTGCAGCACCACCGGCTAACTGCCAATCCATAACTGCAGCTTCGAGGCATGCCGAAATCAAAACCAGATGGCGCATCAACCTTATGGCGGACGCCGACAGAAGTAGTGACTTCTTTTTGCAGGGCTTTCCAAAGGCAACACACCAACGTCTGGCTGCATGGCGGAACTGTGCAGGGCTGGGATTCGGCCTTTGCTCTTGCTTAAAAAGATGTCTGGCTTTGGCCGGGTTGCCCAAATCTCCGTCTCCACGCTGGTCAACGAGCCGACCTCGCATTTTTTGGGGTTCGACACTGCTTGCCTCTCGGCAGCTGTGTAACCGCCTCTTGCTCGGTCATGAAGAAGACTGACAAGGCGTTCAGCTGCCCCACACCGTACTGAGACGGCCTTGCCCACATCAACGCATTCCAGAGCCCGGCTGGAAGCCCTCTACCCTGGCTAGGTGCATGGCGCAATGAAGAAGTCTGACAGCTTTCCAAGCACCGAGAGCGAACCAGCGTAGTCGTTTCCCAGGTCTTCCCTCCAGAGCGCGAGCAAATGTGCGAGCATGGAGCCGGGGAGCGGTAAAAACAGGCCCCTTTGCTGAGGAGGCTGCAAGCAGAACAACGTCTGGCGCGGGGCTGGGCAGAACGACAGCTGCTGCGCTGAGAGAGTTTTGTCCTAGCAAATCGCCGGCAAACGCTGCGCCGTTCCTCCAAAACAACGGAGTCCTCAATGATTTCGGCGGGATTGAAGCCACCGTGGACCACTCCCACAGACCATGTGTTGGTCGGGTCCTGAGCGTACCCTCCTGCCGTTGTTGTTCTTATTGTCCTGTTGCCTTTTTGCAAGAACCTAGAAACAATGAACAGGTCACACATGGACGAAGCGAGCATGGTGGAGAGGCTGTCGGTGCAATGCTGGTTAAGAAAAGTCGCATCTCTCTTGAGTGCTGCAGTCGGATTGTCAACAACCAATTCGACGAAGTACACCTGCACACGGTGGAAAATTATGGAAAGCCAACTACAGAGGGTTGGGGCCGAAGCAGTTCTGGCATAGACGATCATGTCCTTGTAGCATCTAACAGATGCCACACACTACTCTGTCCGAAGGCCGTGTAAGAGCGGTACAGCCAAGAGAGTGAGCTGGCACATAACGTCGGGTGTGGCCTGGAAGAGTGAGCTCTTGCTGGTAACATGAAGTCACGGCACGGCTTCTCTGAAGTGAGGTTTTATGGCTGGCCAAAACAATACCGAAATTGCAGTCAGTAACGTTCCCTAGAAGGTCAATATTCACTGACAAATCGCCGAATATAAACCTGCTCCAGACGGTGCCAGCACCTCCCACGTAAGGTCCGAGCTGGTATGTTCCGATATCGGACTTCGGTGAGTTTGCCGCCCTGAGATGCAGGACCGAACAGGTGGAAGAAACAGGTGCACGCTTTCTCGCTGGCACTAAGCGGCGAGCCAGTCGACCTTTTGTGGATGGGAACATGTTGGCCAGAAGTTCCAAATCGGGAACCTGGACTCTGCACCAGCAGAATTCTACTGACCTTCAAGTCGTCTTCAAGCTTGAAACTGCGTGGTTCTTAGTGTCGAGCACTGCCACCCTGCTGCGTCATTGAGCAAGCGTAACCTTGATGGCATGTCGCACCGGTCACTGAACTACGCGGGCATATTATACAGCCTTAAGTCCCCGACCGACTGGAAGCTTGAAGTTAATCTCCACCTGCATATCGCAGACCAATGCATCTGTGGTCTGCAACCCACTTTTTGCCCCTTTCTTGACTACAATCCTGGCAGCTAGGCGCATCACCAAGTTGCCAAATCCATAGAACGTCGTTCCGAACACTAGGCGGGCGTAAATCCTGCCACACACGTGCAGTGCACATTGAGCGAGACTCAACCTCTAATAATGTCATCAGAGCGTCGAACCTGTTGCCATCATCAGCTTTGAAGGGGGCTTGATTTCCGTCGCCAACCTTTGCGATGAGACAACCATATCTTCAAGGCCATTACCTTTCAACCTTTGTCGACACGAGATGTGAACCTTCGACACAAGCGATGCTGCCAGAATCTGTGGCTTCTTGTAGAGGCGTGCACCTTTGCAAAGAGCCAATGATGCAGTGACAGTGTTGCAGGTATGTCAGCTTGGTCGCTTCCACCCTGGACCGTAGCAACTGCAAGTGCCTTCCAGGAGTCGAGTAACGGCAACACGTGTAGCAGCACAGCAACAAGCCTTTGGGATGTCCCAGTAGTCAGGGGCAAATCCATCATCTTTTGTGATCCTTGGCAATCGTGGTAGTCTACAGCAAAGCTTGGTCAAGCCACTGCAAAGTAAGGCTGGAGCTCAGCCGTGACCACTGTCGGAAAGAAGCCGCCAGCAGGCAGTGGCAAGTTTCCAATCTGGCGCGTTCGCTGGCCAGTCTAACAGTTGCAAAGCGAGTCCCACAAGGCACAAGCCTCCATGGCCATGGTGATGGTGTCCGTGATTTGAGCCATGATGTTGGGGAGAATGATCCTCCGGGCCGGAAAACATGGGCCCCCCGGCCCTCCCTCTCTGGGCCCCAGGGAGCGGCCTCAAGGTGTTGATGGGCCACGACGCGATGCCCACAACCGTACCTCAGAGCGACGAGGGATGAAAGAAGGGAAGCGGAGCGGCTTCTCGTTCGCTCTGCGAGCTCCCGGCCACCGACCACGGACTCCGGCTGGCAAATCGGACTGGAGCCTCAAGAAGCACCGCAAAGGCAAAGGCAGCTGCGCCGAGTAGTGAGGGTTTACGACGTCGGCTGCAGCGTCCGAGCGCGCCACACGTTCCTCCGGGAACTGGTGGCGTACAGCCTCCTGCAAAGAAGCCCACCTTGCAAAGCTGTAGAGGAAGTGTCTGTCGGAGCTGCTAACAGCGAGGAGTTCAAGGCCAAGGCCTGGCACGATGGACCAATGTTCCACTGAGTCAGCGGATGGAGCCAGAGGCGGAGCACGGACTGCCTGGCGACTTAGGTCTTTGCCTTCTGCTTCCGCTTGGAGGTGCTTGGGATGCTTTAAAATCTTGGTTTGGGGCCAGGATGGGGGATGCCGGCGGCGGGTTTAATGGCTCTAAGGCTTGTCCCCCGAACATTAGTCGGTTGCTGGCATGCCATGACCTGCACACGTTTGCCCGCAGCGTCTGAATCCCGTAGCTCACATTGCCTGAGCTGAGGTCAGAGCGTGAGTTTTAGGTGAGGTGGGGTCGCTCCACACACTATCGGCCCGGCGCACGGGGGCCATAATTCTGAGAAGAGGCAGGAAAGAAAGCATCGGCTCACCATGATAGAGGGCACGAGAGTCGGGGAGCTTCGGGCTTCTAGGGCCGGTGGCGCGACTGCCTCTCTGCCCACCTTTGAATGTCTGAATGCTGCGATTTCCGTGAATGGGCTGCTGTGCCCGTGGGCACCGTACTCCAGAAAAGGGAAAGAGTGGGAGCAGCTGACGGATGCGGGTCCAAGCTCACGGACCTGGGGAAAAATTGGAAGGGCCCTGGACGGCAGGGTGTGGAGCTTGAATGTTGTCCCACTGTCGAAGGCACATTTCCCAATGAGCCCTGGCAGTACACTGAAGGCGTTTTGGTACGAGTCCAGAAACATGTGTCCGGCGACGCTCAGGCCAGTCTTGGGAGTGCATAGAGTTTGCCCCGTAGGTTGCCCCCCCTTCTTCTAGTTTCACGATTGGGGTTCGGAAATGGGTTCGGGGCTTCCGATCTGCAGGCCTGGCTTCTGCCCAAACTATCCTGACCAGCCTTCCTTCAATCCGCTCAACGAAATCCTGGTCACCTGCCTTGACCTGGAGATACAAGCCGTTATGGTACTGGTGTCCACGTTCACATACGAGCTAAAAAATGCAGATATGGTAGCTTCCGCCACTGGCCGTAATCATGCAGGGGCACGGAGTGATCGGGTAACCAAGCTTGGCCGTCAGCTCGAAAGCAAAGGCTGGCACCTGTCCATGACCAGAATTCGCTTCGCGGCTTTGGAAAAGGCTCGTGCAACTCGAACTTAAAGCCGACACATCAAATGCGGAGACAGCACGGGGATAAATACTTGCTGCAAGCTTCATGAGCTGCCACCTGACTCTGAAGGCTAGGTTGGGAAACTATGGAAAGAAACCTGTCCCCTGTAAACGCATGCTAAAGCCCTCTCACAGTCCGACTCACGCTCTCCGCAGGGCCCGGACGTTGAGCAAGTTGCCGTTCGCTTGAGGGCATTTGAGATCAATGGGCGATCGGCAAAAGCCTGGGAAATGCGAGCTGAGTCCCTGAACCTTTAGCTACTAGGAGTATCCTCTGTCGTGCTTTGGCGGGCCGGTTGGCCCAACCACCGTGGCCAAGGTGCCGACTGAGTGATGGATCAGGCGGGACACCATTGCCTCCATTTCCACACTCCTGCATCGAAGCTGGGCCTAGTTTTCGGAGCGAATTGTTTTTGCGCCCTTCAAAAGTCCTCTTCACTGAAGCAGACTTTGCACTGATTGTCGATCGAGGGTGACACGCTGGGGTTTTTCCTCAGACTCCAACGAATGTATGTTTCAAAAGCCAGAGGTTCACTGCTTAGTTCACTGCTCATCATGCGGTATGCAGAAGGTCAGCATCTCCTGGCCGTGCCACCAAAGCAACGGCCGTACCGGAATAGGAAGGGCTTGCAGTGTGCACATGTCCTCGATGAGGGCACCGTTTGTTCCAAGCAGTCGCAATCCACGGGGAATTGCACCTTCATCATGAAAGCCTTAGATTCAGAAGCAGCTGCAACTGTCAGTGCTGATGGCATGCTTGAACTGCATAGTTGAATGCTCAAGGCGATGGCGAGGATCGCCTACCTGGCTGAATTGCGGATCCTCGGAAGAAGAAAAACAAAAGAAAAAATAGAATCTGGCAGATGTCCGGGTACATCTCGGCAATCTGAGTTGCATGCACCCAGCGTGTCTCTTGGCGGCACCCGTGTCTCCGGAGCGGGATAGGCCTGGCCGCTGACTGCTCAACAAAAACACGCACTGGCAAACACGACCCCAAACACACTCTGAAACATCCGTGATTTCATAGGCCCTGAGAGAACGAGCAAGCAACACGGCACCCTTCTCGATCACGCCAAATGGGTTGTTGAAGGCCTTTTCCGGACTGCTTCGAAGTGCTTCGACATGCTAAGTGAATTTGATTGCAAGCCGCCCCAAGGTCCCGACATCATCCATGGACCAAACCCAAACCGCACCGTCTTGTGGAAAATCAAATCTCAACTCCTGCAGACATTGCGCCTGTATGCAGCCCCATGTGAGACCGCTTGTTCACAAGCAAAGGCTCCCCGAGGACGTTCATGTTGGTAATGGCCATGTACCTTACAAAGCAGTGCGCATTCGCCAGTTCGAAATGGCTCAGAAATCAGCTTGTGTACAAGCTGTCAGTAGTGTCTAAATCAGTTTGTGCACAGAATGCTGAACACGTCTTGAGTCGCCTTGTGTTCTTCTTCAAGTGGTTCCTCTCACTGAAGAGAATGTGGAGCCTGGGCGATGTCAGCGCTTCGCCGCTCGCTGTTGTTCGTCATGCAATGACATGGCCCTGACTGCTTGACTATCATGGTTGGATCTGTGTCGTCCTGACCAGCATTCTGCAACGCAACGACAAAGTGATCAGGCAAGCAATGTAGGAATGTCCTCGCTGTAGTAACATCCATCCGGCATTGGAAACCCGTCAGGGTCCTTGATACACACACAACTTCATCCAACAAGGTTGTTGAGCGAGTCAAGCACAGCATCCGTCCTCAGACCATAGTTCGATAAAGATCTTGCCGCAGAAGTCTTGCCGAGCCTCCACATAGCCACGCAGTAACAAATGGCCCCAAGTGCTACGCAAGGACACTAGGAGGCCGTTTTTTACCTGCACCGGCCTCCGAGGGCTCATCGGTGTCAGCAGACGGCACGAGAGGCTGGCACAGGGATTTTACATGGGGAAACTCCACGCGGTCTATGGCTGGGCCTGTTTTTGGTCAGAGTGTATGGCAAAACTCGCACAACAGCTTCCGCTTGAACGTCTCATTTTTCTGCAGACAGCACGCCAGCTCTTTGCACTAACAGGAGAGCAAAACGTCCAGCTACACGATTCTGGTTGAGCGCGTCAACAGAATTCGGCTGGGGGCTGGGCGCCAGGCGGCAGTGCCGGTGCGACATTCGCACCGCAAGCAGCCAAATGGCCTGGTCGACGTCCATGTCAAACGTTACCTCATTGTTGAAACAAGCCCAAGAGCCTGCTGTGCGCACACCTCTGTGGGTGAAGTCGCTTGACCAAAACTCTGTACATTCCTAGACTGACAGCTGTCGCATCCACTTGCAGAGATCGCGAGCGACAGTCTCCTTGAGTTTGGGCTCTGCGAGGAGGTTGTGAAATCCGCTTTGGTAGCGCAGGAACTGTGATGCCGGAGACTTAGATGCTTCCAGGACCAAGGTATGGCCGGCTTCTGTGACAACCTAGGCCAGGAAAATTGCAATGAGACGCAACAAGAGGCCGTTTTTCTTTTCGTGGTGTTCACGCATGAGTAATCAACTTGATACCCTCATTGACAAACGACAAACAGAAAGGCTTCGGCACAAGGAGCCTTGTCGCCGGTGCCCCACAACATCAGAACCGGAATCGAAAGCGTGAGCTGGTCTGGAAGAATTTCCTGAAGTCGAAGCATTTCCAGGATGTAGCCTGCTGTCAACCTCGGAGCTCGGAGGACACAGAGCCACGGCGAAAAAACAGTTGGCGGCCGCGGGGTTTCTGCGCTTTCAGGCCAAGAGGCTTGCCACGACTCACCAGGGGATCCCGCTCCCAGGCTTCAAGGGCCCCCGAATCGCTCACGATGAGCTTCGGATCGAAGGGCGGTTTCAGTCCAAGCTTCGGTGCGCAGCTGGCAATGGCCCGAACGAGTGTCAAAGCTGCGGCCGACGGCTTTACCGAGGGATCGATTTGAAAAGCGCCCGACAAACCAATCAAGCCGGTCCACTTGCCGCGGTGCTGTGCTGCTGTCCAGGCCGCAAACAAACCTCCAATGCTCTTGCCAAGAAGAAAGCGTGATGTAACATGCGCATACGGTGAGCCAGAACTATGTATGCGCTGGTAGTCAGACAGGATGTCTCCCATGAACGAGTCGATACTATCCACATACAGCGCTTCACCATCACTTCGACCCCAGCCACGCATGTCAGAGGCAAAGACCGCCACGCCCTGCATCGCCAAGAACTCACCCAACTCCGCATAGACCCCTGAATGGTCAACCGTGCCATGAATTATCATCAGCGTTGCCCAGACGGACTTCTCACGTGGCTGCCATGCTCTTGAGAACAGCCACAGACTGTTGTCAAAAGAGCGGTTAAACTCGCAGGACTGGTGGAGCTGTTCTGAATCCTGCAAGTCATCACCATTTATCGGTGGACAAGCTGCAGAGTACTTCACTGCAAGGTGGGGTGGCAGCTTCGCGCGGCTGCAACATAGACCCATGTCTCCCTCACGGCGAGCGCACACACTACCCTGAATCCTGCGGAAGAAAGACCACGGAAGGCAAGTCAAGACAACGCCGAGATGTCAAACACAGCCAACGCAACACTGAGAGTACTTGCCTCCAGAAGATTGGTTCGTGGAAGCAGCACGTCCTCACAATAGAATAGAGAACCGTGGCAGTAAAGGCTTTTACACTTTTCGTGACCTACACCACCCTCACGACTGGGCGGAATACTCGGACCACGGGACTTCCAGCAATACTGTCGTCCCTGGCGAACACGTTGCACTCCCACACAAAGGTCTCGCTTGTCATGTACTGAGTGCTGAACAGCCCTGGCATAATCTCAAAGACCAGGTGCTGCTGACCTAGTTTTTGTGCAAGTGGTGCTATGTTCTGGAAAAAAACATGTAGCGAAAGGCAGCGGACCAGTTGCAGTTGCATAATGTGCAACATCTCCCGTCCTGTCGGAATGCATCGTCAAGAGATACCGACGAACTTGTTACCACAACAGCCGGTCACGAACGCGATGGCAACCGGACTTCCAGGATTGGTTTGACCCGGCGACTGGTCCTGTGGCGAACTGCAACATCGAGAGAGAAGTGCTTACTGCTGTGAGTTGAGGGTGCTGCAGGCATGATCGTCGTCAAGCCCAAGTATGCCTCTGGCATGGCGTTCCTGGCTCGGACGAACTGAAAGCCCCTTCACCAGCCCTGCGCAACTCATGAGATCAGCCGGTGCGACGGCATCTTCACCGTGATCGAGCCAGCCTCACGCTAGGGGCTCAAAAGACTACTTGTGACTACCTCGCAATCAAAGATCTCACAGTTAGGACTTTCTGGAAGCTCCTACAGTCGATCCCCCTAGACTGTGACTAAGGTATTATTTACGGCCCTTCGGAACTGAATGCGAAGAGCATCCTGGGCTCTGCGGCCTGGCCCACGTAGCTGCCAAAGCTCGTGTCCGCCGCGCCGCAGTCGTGGCACCTCGGATTTCAGCAGGGCAACGGGAGGGAAGGAGATAGATGGAGCAGAGCCTCTCAAGATTGCAAAGTGGAGGGGCAAGCTCCGACAGGAACATTGTGAGGTTTGCGAAAACCAAAGCTTTGGCTCTCTGAGCTCGCGGCCAGCACACCACGTAACCTCGTCCTTCGGGTGACTGAGCACCGTCCGCCACCTCTCACAGCTGTGACGGTACGGCCCCGGCCAAGCATGCTCCGATCGGAAATTCCAGCCTTGATCCTGTTGAAGGTCTCTTTGGATGTCCGAGACCACCTCGAACACTGCAACACTGCAACACGAACGGAGACGGGCTATTGCAGATGTGAAAGCATGCCCAACACAAGCTTTCTGGCACATCAGGCTGAGACTGTGACCCTGCACTCGGTACATTGGGGATGTTGGGAAACTCAGCAGCTGCGAATCTGACCGGGACCAATATCTTCCAGCCTCGTGAAGGTGACGCATGGCTGCAAATTGAGTCTACGCTGGCTTCATGAGGCTGGATTCAGGCAACTCAGCTGGCGACACGATGTAGCATCATCATCACAAGACACGAACACCTGCAGCCAAGTCCCCGCAGACTTTATATTGCTGATACTGGATCTGCATGAGTCTGGAGACTCCAGTTGCAGTTGTGCAGCGTATACTATGAAAATGCTCCACTGTCGCGTCTTACAAGTGATAGACCAGCCTCGTGCACGGTGTTGTACATCTCGGCCCGCTTCAGTGCCTTTATACAAGGCAATGAGCCAGCACTTGTCATGGGCCGGTCAGTCCGTTCAATCCGGCTGGGTTCCGTGCCAAGTTTCGCGCAGGCAGGCTGGTGTCGGTCGGGTCCGGATTTACTCCTCTCTGACACCCAAGCAAGCTCCAGAAAGGCAACGAGGGCTGATGATAAAACTTTCACTTTCGCCAGGAGGCGACCGCGGGTCCCAACCACCGTCACATTGGCTAGACGCATAAAGGACGACCGCTACACACGAACATAACACATGACGACAGAGAACAGACAGCGAACGAAACTGACTGGAGCCTTGAAGGCCTGAAGCTCCCCTCCTGGATGCCCCAAACAGCCAGTCCTGACAACCGAATTCGGTCACCATCCTTCAGGCCATGGCTCCTGAACAGAACAGAACAGAAGCCCAAGCCCAAGCCCAAGCCCGCAAAACTGAGCGAATCCAGCCGCCTGTCGAAGGAGATCTCGGTTCCCATGTCAGACCAGGCCTGCTCTTGATAATTAGAATAGGGTTTTTGGGGGGGCACATTATCCTATACTGATACGAAGGTACCCCTGAAACAGTATTAATTATTTAGGCCCCTGCATTTCTCTCCAGCAAAAAGCACGACACTCGAAAGAAAGCGGGCCGCAGGGGTAGGGGAGGCCCCCGCACCATCGTCGACATCCTGGAGTTCGTCGTTTCACGCGTGTGGAGGGTCGCCTGCCCCACCTCAGACATGAATCAGAGCAGAGCAGACTTGGCATCCTCTGACACCCGGAGATCAGGAGCAGCAGTGCACTTGCATTTTGCGGCCTACAACGTACTAGTAGGACTGAGCTGTGCTGACACTGAGAAGGAGGAGGCCAAGATTTTTCAGCTTCAGGCGGGACCGAAGGCATTTCCAGTTGGAGCCACGTTGCCGCAGTCTTGCGGCCTTTGATGCATCACACAGCTTGCCTGTCCATACTCCACGTCGCGAGGACAATAGTAGGCCCCCGACTGCTGAGAGGTACTCAGGATCAACGCCTGAAAAACCCACAGTTTCTGCACGGAGGAAGCAAGACACCCAAGACACCTCTGCCTGGTCTGAGCCAAGCAAGGCAAACTGTCATTTGAGACTCAGGATGGGACCCGATTGGTGTCCTGCAGATCGTAGCCCTCCACGTCGATGCTGAAGGTGACACCTGTATACCTTCCAGCTTGGACCCAAGTACGAAGTCTCGTGAGGTGAGAAGATTGGTCACACAGCGAGGAGTATCACCCGCCCAGCTCAGTGCCTTGTCCAGGTTTGCCGGGCCAGAGGCCCTGCAATCAGTTCACCTCAGGTTCTGCCAATCGCCATTCCTCGCTCTTGTCGAGGTGCGAAGGTTTCGCCCATCTCCCCCGGTGATGCCATCATGTCAAGTCGTGGTGCTGGGCAGATGTTGCACTGGCTCGGCATGCGACGCTTGAGTAAGTGCGTAGGCACTTGCACGTGAGCGAGGCAGCACAAAGAGTGAGCTAGTGACTGAGCTTGCGGATGACTGAATAAGTGGTCAGGCGAAGCGAGTTATAGATTGACTGAGTGTGTGGAGTAGGAAGAGTGATTAACGGGTGAGAGAAAACGACAGGCCTGATATTGGGACTGAGCTTGCGCTGCCTGGTATGATCTCCGTTCCTTACCCTACTTTCGCCAGATGACGTCAAGGAAGCACCCCACCCCCCAGCAACAACCTGCCATTGCTGCTAAGCAGCAGGCAAGACTCAACACAAACTCCCCATCGCTAGCTGTCGCAACAAGTCTTGCCTGCCAATCCTTCTAAGACGCCGACGTCCGAAGACCGCCCAGTTGCTGACTTCATTGCCTTGCTCTTGGGCATTGGACCAAACTTGCTGCATGAGTCCAACCGGCTGCTCAGGCGTTGACAATTGGAGTCACAGTAGCATACAGCATACCAGCCCGGCCTTGTGCAGCAGGGCAAAGAACCGGCAAAAAACGCAAAATCTCGTACGCACTGATGCACACGAGGAAACCAAGAAAGCCACACAGAGATGCGGATGTTGGCAGCACAAACCGGAGGGACCTTGCAGAACGGCAGTAGCTGAACATGCTCCGACTGCATAGACGAAGCCTGCGACATCTGGGGCAAGCGCAGCGGTGTTGCACACTAATCCATACAACTGCCCGCGAGGACGGCCAGGATCCTCAGCCTGCATCGACGAAGGTATCCGTGCAGGTTGCCAGGCAGACTTCTACTTTCAGTCAGTCAGCAGTGAGAGCTTGAAGCAAAGCAGTGAGTCTTCTGGCACCTCAAGGATGGTCTGTGGTTGCGTGTAGTCCGTGTTTCCGCTGATCTCAGGGAGTGCAAAGCCATGCAGAGCGTGACAACAGCGATGCATCTACGTTTCTTGAAATCTGAAAGCAGGAATCAAGCTGGTCTCTGCCAGAACTGAGGACCAGAACCAAGCGGTGTCCAGAGATGCCGAGAGGTTGCTCTGTGTTGAGGCAAGAGTCCTTGTCCACGTTTCCGTCCTTCGGAACGACATGGACAGTGTCACAGACGCACATCTGTTCTGCTATCTCGAGATCCGGGAAACGTCTCAGGCCCGTGCATCATCTCTGAGGAACTTCATCTCGCGTGTCTTGGAATCGGTGCCTCCACTCCAGCCTTATCGGACTGCGTTGGAACAAGGTTTAGCGCTAAATTCTGCAGCTTTAGTGTTTAGGAGTAGGGTTTGGCGCAGAATCCTACAGGTTTAGGATATAAGAACAGCATTTGGCGACATGGTAGAAACGGCTGAATGTCACTAGGCGATTGCGCCTGTAGAGAAATGTCTTAACGTTTCCGCAGCATGCGGGTTATAGGAGTGTACTGCTTTTGTAGTTAATTGTAGCTTGTCGCAGCATGCATTCGGTCGAGGTGAAGGTGTCCAGCAAGGTGCAAGTAGCAGAATCACGCTCAGGTAAGGACTGCCCTGCACCGGTGACTCATCCGTGCCCTTTCCCAGGATCACCAGCAGTCGGCCTGCCGATCCAGAGATTCCATGATGACGGCAATGACACATTTCAACCGAGTAGTCGTGGGAGCGGCATCTTTGGCACACAGGTTCGTAGTTTGTGAGAATACTGCGAAAGCCGAATAGGGCGGCGCCTGTGTTGACAATTGCTGGCAGTTCGCCATAAGAGCCAGTGGTGTAGTCCTCGGATGATTTGGCAATTCGAACATCGGGCTCATGAACGTGTGACCCGCGAGGCGCTGGCGATCGTGAAATGACTTTCAACAGGCTCCACGTCCAATGTACCAGCCTACGTGTGTACTTTGGGAAACACGAACAAATACTGATGCCAAACATGACAGGGTACAAGTGCCTTGAACCAGTATGCACTGTTGAGACAGTTCTCGTCGCAGTAGCACACATCATATGTCGCGGCGACCATCACACGATTCTCGTAGCTGGCATCAACTTGCACCTGAAGGAAACTGTGACCGAAGCCGCACATTCCGACACAGATGGCAAGTGCCGGGCATCAAGAAAGGTGGGAGCTTTTCCGCTCATGACTTCCTCTGGCAAGTCATTGCCTGACCGCCCACTTGTCGGGAATCCGCAGAACGGGGAGCCTAGCCTGACAACCACAGAATCTTGGTTCCCACGCAAGTAGACGGCCCCACACAGTTCGCAGGACCAAGATGTCCTCCCAAGACCTCGCTGTTCTCAGCGTTTTGCATGCTGGAACTGCACTACCGTCTCGCTTCCGGCTAGCACATGCCGCTATATACCGCTGATCCATTGAATTGATCGATCGTCCTTCGGACTGCTACCGAGAGAACTTGGTAGCGGACCTGTGCCCCATCGGTTGCTGTTGCGGCCTGTGGCAGAAATCGGCCTCGGTGAAACTTCCAGTCAAAAAAAACACATAATGCAAGATCGAAGGCACGCGCATCCAGCGTCTGAGTCGTAGTAGGGCTGGCAGAAACGAATCTTGAACGGCCCTGATCGAGTCTGCTCGCGGTGGCCTGGCCTTGAAGCTCTCGGAAGAAGAGCGGATGATCTTGTAGCGCGGAGTGTCGCTAGTCTGGCAGGTGGAAAGTCAAGGAGCCAGCAGCCGGCCAGCATTGTCTAAGCAAGTCCGCGGTGCCGAGCATCCTCCCGAAACGGAGTCCGGTTCTCTGTTCTGAACGCCATCGTGACCGCAACTTAGTTCCGATAGAGTGCGTTCGTGCAACAAGAATCTGGAGTGCACCCATGTCTAAGGGACAGGCTTGATAACCAAACCAAATCGCAAAGTGGGATAAACTGTGATGTCGGTCTCAGTTGCAGTGACCGCTGCACTTTCACGACGACTGCATCGGGTAGATACTTTCATGCAACAGCTCCAGCAGCATCGCAAGCCCCGGTCCGAGGGCTGAACACTTCCTGCCTGTCCCATCAGGGATTGGACCTGTGCTAGAGAGCAACAGGCCGCAAGGTCTCCGCATTGACACTGCATGCGAAAGTACTTTTGAGGTGGTGGTGGTGGCGGTGGTGGTGGTGGTGGTGGTGGTGGTGGTCGTCGTCGTCGTCGTTTACCGGTCCCTGAAGCACTCTTTGTGCAAACACGAAAGAAGCTCGCTCTGGCGGTCCAGCAAAGACCAAGCTCGGCACGTTGATCACAATCATCAGCCCGACCTCCTGCGGAAAATCCTGCGGAGCCTTGCTGAGCTCGGATGTGACCATTGCCACTACACATCAAGAAGCCTATTAACGATGTGAACTAAGGGCTTGGCGTTATTGGAGCAGACTGTAACAACACCTGTGATCAAGATGGTAGCCGCCAGCACTTCTGAAAGAAAGCGGACCTTCATTCAACAACGTTTAGAGTCTAGTACTGGAACTGCGAAACCAGGTCGGCCGTACCACCATCAGCGGCACCGTTGTCGAAATCAAAGCCAGCGCAGTAGCAAACTTTCCAAACCTCGGTGGAAGAAGGTCGCGGCCTTTTCGTAGTGTCGAGATTGGCAACAGAGCATGCAATTTTTGTCGCACAGACTGCTTTTGTCACAAGATTGTTTCGGCTCTTCAAGTCGGCAGTCAGGGCAGATCACTTCAGGCGGAGGTCATCTCGTCGCCGACCCTTCTTTGTGGCCGTGGCCTTGGTGTCCTAAGCAGTGTGACCCTGCTACCAGGGCACTTGGAGCCGTACAAAGCCCTGCTGCCTCCGCCCAGCGTCGATCCGCAGCTGCGACGACGAAGCGCAAAGGAATGCGAAGCTCGGCCTGCCCGATGGGAGCTGTTCGGATGTCTCTGCCAGGCGGAGCAGGCAACAGAACCTGACGCCACAAAAACACGGACCAAACGATATCACACCTTTCTTGGCTTGCAACCGCATCAACAGCCATGGTTCTTGTGAGGAGATGATTGTTTCAACCTGTTGAAACGAGGCCGAGGGAGGTCACTCCGTCCCGGCATTTGGTCTCTGCATCTGCGTGGATGTCTGCATGACTTTCATCACATCTGCCCGGGTTTAGGGCCTACTGCATTTACATGCGCGCTGCCCTGACCCGAGAGGCCGCCTCCGCAGGCGGGCCAAGGGGAGAAGCCATCTGCGATGCGGCACAGCCAGCCAAAGCCACATCCGGCCTGGCCTGTTCTCCCTTGAACAACCGCGCCAATGAGCTTTCACTCACAGTCTCCGCATGGAAGCCTGACGCTGGCAGAGAACCAAACTCGACACAGGAGGCTCTCTCGCATGCAAGAAGGGGCATGGTGCACCCCGAGTGCTACTATGACTTTTCGCCATGCCACGTCGGCGAGCAGAGCCGCTTCGAGCTGGGCGAAACTGCATGGACCAGGCAATCGATGCTCCGCTGGAATCCAACGAACCATGTGAGGTCCTGAAGCTTGGCTTGGAAAGCGATGTATCCAAGAGAGGGTAAGCTTTGGAAGTGCAAGGGCATTGCTCTGAGCATGCTGCCACCGTCTCCTGGAATCTTCCCAATGCCTGTGCACGACATGCAGCGCTCGGGGCTCGGACTCAGACATAGTTGGCATCACAACTCAAACCTGAAGATGCGGCTCTGGTACTCAGCACCAATATTTTGGAAGTCTGCCTGTGCTTCAAGATTGTGGTTGATGCTTTGCGCCGAAACTCAAGCTCGCCTCACCAAGGCCTCGCCCAATGATCCATCCATTTCCTCCTCGCTCTGCGCTTGGGCTCCACTCCAGGAAAGTGTCGCATCCTTGATTTGTCGTGAGAGATGTTCGTAGTTTCAGCTAATTCAACAGACCCGCAGCCAAGTGTCTCTGTTCGGCATCCATTCTGCTGCCGCCACCCGCCTGATCTCCGTTAGGCCGTTAGGCGTACTTACGAATGCACCTGCGTCGCAGACCAACCCTCCCCATGGCAAAGTGTCAGCACCTGACCTCCGCCCCAATGCACGGGCATACCGTGCAACGGAGAGCCAAGTGGCCTGAGAACTCAACCTCTGAAGCTCTACGAAAGTATTGGTCCAACATGCAAAGCTTATATGGAACCGAGCCACCATGTCTCTCGGCCGCTAGTGTGTCGACAACATGCTCTGAAAAGGTACTTCGGCGATGTCGGATAGAGAACTTATCACGTTGCTTTGGATCCGTGCTTCAACTGTTTGCACCAGCATGATCCAACAGATCCACAGGGTATGTCTGAAAGCAAGAACTGTGTGGATGCTCATGCTCTTGCAGTGCGGTCAGTTGCTTGGGCAAAGCAGCATTGTGTCTGAAGATGGCCAGCAAAAGCGCAACCCAAGTCATCCTGCAAAGCAAAGCTTTCCGTCTCAGAGCAGTACACCAAGACCAAAGCCATCTTTGATGAGCCCGAAGTTGTGGATCTCAATCAGAGTCCAACATCATGTGTCTCATTTCTAGAGAACTTGCGACACAAGTCGAGTCTGGGTTGCTACACGTCTGGTCCTAGCAAACACTTAGCTGCAGTGCTGAGCCTCGAAGCCAATCTCATTGCTGACATCCGACACCTTCCACGCTCACAACTTGTTGTCATGTGCTGTTTTCCGGTGCACGGAATATTCCGTGGGAGGGCCTTGTTAACAAAGGGAGCAGCATCAACGGCTCCTCCACATGCCTGCGACATTCAAGCTTCGTTTTGCGTCTGCTCCGAAGTGTCCGCTCGTATCTGGATGCAGCCTGGTTCACATAAGTCAGACTGGACCTCCATGGAGGGTACGCTGGGTTTGGCCTGCAGAGCATCTTGCATGCAGTCCCTTGGGCAGCTCGATCCTGATTGAGATTCCGAACCTCCGAGTTCCGGGCATTCCAAGAAGCATAAACTCATCTGTCATGTTGTTTCTTTTGTAACCTTGAACCTGTCTCAGGAGGAAACGCGACTCTGCAAACAGCCGCGTGCTAGTAGTAGCACCCGGTGCAAATGTCCAAACGCCTTGCCGGTGCACTCGCACCCTGTGATACTGGGGTCGAACTTGCATTCCCTCGGCCATCACGCATTAGGAGCTCAAACGACATCAACTCTGTGACCCATGACTGAAACTGCAGTCGCTACAAAGCATGTCTTGGGCCGCGTGCTGCCGCGCCAGGCTAGTGACTGGACACCTGTCGTGCAGAATGGCATTCCGTGTTCAATTGATATACCACGACGTATTAACACATGACAAAGCGGCCAAAACTTGTTGGTCGTGCTTTCAGCACCGAAAACAGATATACTTGGCTCCAGTTCCTGATCAGGGGATGGCAGATGTCCTACGGCTTTCGCGCATGATGAAGAGACTGGTGTCACACAGAACCAGTGCCTGCCATTGAATTCCATCAGGCGAATAACAGATGCGAAAGAGGCCGCCGTTGGGAAACGTCAGCGGTCCAAAGACGTTCCGGATCGTCTGAGAGAAGCATCATACAAATACAAGCAAGTTCATCAACTTTACGTTTGAGTTGCAGACCTCCGGCGTGGTGCCCGGTACCACGGCATTTTCGGCCCCATCTCAGCCGCAGAAATGATGTCCAAGACAAGCCATGCAGGGAATGTGGTACGGTAAATACGATGGAACTTTCCGGACAGCTCGTGGCACTCGCTGGGTTGCTGCCGCGCAGCTGAAGGGAAATCCCATGTAAGCCTGAACTGTCTCACACGTCTGCAGCCTGGGCCGTGTGCACTGCGAAGGGATGCAGACTTCCCACTTTCAACGAAAATCTGTCCGCAGTGCAATCCCGCACGAGACCGGGACGTCGATCTCATGTCATACGGTACCTGCTTCAGCGGTTGCTGCAGCTTCCCCCTCAACGCTCAGCTCCAAAAATCAAACTGACATCAATCGGAGGCATACTAAGCCTATGCATCCAAGCTGCAAGCTTTGCTCGGATGTCCTGCTTGGACACGCCCAAGCCGGACCTGACCGTCATATCCGACAAACTGTAGCACAACAGAGAATCAGACGAAGAACGTCTTGGAATAACCTGTAAGTCTCCTGCAATGCATGAATTACGAAGCGATTGTACTCAACGCCAGCTCTAACGTTCACCTGGCAGCTAACCGTCAAACATCAACGGCACGCACTCGGGTAGTCTGCAGAAATCGTTTACAATCGTCGGGGCAAATGAGTGAAGTTGGCCAGAGGATGTGACTGCGGCTTCAGTCACATGCGCAACGTCTTGGATGACAAACAAAGTGACTCGGCCATTGCCCAGCAACCTCCCGCCAGCCACGTACGACAAGCATTGGCCCTCGGGGAAGTCGTCGTCCTCATTTAGGATCAGCAACTTACCAGATCAATCGAGCTTCAATCGTCATAGGCTGACTTGCTTGTGTTCAAGATTCGCCTATTGTTGGCACCAGCAATCGGAGATTGCAGATGCAAACTGCCCATACGCCGGAGCAAGCACCGGGCAGAAATGTTCTCCGACCGCGATAATTTCAAATGTCGTGTCGACCGGCAGCACGCTGCAATGCACATGCTGCCAGAACTAAGACACTAAGAAATCAACTCGGAATTGCCCGGCAACCTCCCGACAGCCACGTACGACAAGCGTTGGCCCTCAGGGTAGTCGTCGTCCTCATTTAGGATCAGCAACTTACCAGATCAATCGAGCTTCAATCGTCATAGGCTGACTTGCTTGTGTTCAAGATTAGCCCATTGTTGGCACCAGCAATCGGAGATTGCAGAAGCAAGCTGCACATAACTGAGGTTGGACCAACGAAACTGGCCATACGCCGGAGCAAGCACCGGGCAGAAATGTTCTCCGACCGCGGTAGTTTCAAACGTCGTGTCGACCGGCAGCACGCTGCAATGCACATGCTGCCAGAACTAAGACACTAAGAAATCAACTCGGAATTGCCCGGCAACCTCCCGACAGCCACGTACGACAAGCGTTGGCCCTCAGGGTAGTCGTCGTCCTCATTTAGGATCAGCAACTTACCAGATCAATCGAGCTTCAATCGTCATCGGCTGACTTGCTTGTGTTCAAGATTCGCTATTGTTGGCACCAGCAATCGGAGATTGCAGAAGCAAGCTGCACATAACTGAGGTTGGACCAACGAAACTGGCCATACGCCGGAGGAAGCACCGGGCAGAAATGTTCTCCGACCGCGGTAATTTCAAACGTCGTGTCGACCGGCAGCACGCTGCAATGCACATGCTGCCAGAACTAAGAGACTAAGAAATCAACTCGGAATTGCCCAGCAACCTCCCGACAGCCACGTACGACAAGCGTTGGCCCTCAGGGTAGTCGTCGTCCTCATTTAGGATCAGCAACTTACCAGATCAATCGAGCTTCAATCGTCATCGGCTGACTTGCTTGTGTTCAAGATTCGCCTATTGTTGGCACCAGCAATCGGAGATTGCAGAAGCAAACTGCACGTAACTGATGTTGGACCAACGACAATGGCCATACGCCGGAGCAAGCCGGGCAGAAATGTTCTCCGACCGCGGTAATTTCAAATGTCGTGTCGAGCGGCAGCACGCTGCAATGCACATGGTGGCAGATCACTAAAAACACCAAGAGATCGACTCGGCCATTGCCCAGCAACCTCCCGACAGCCACGTACGACAAGCGTTGGCCCTCAGGGTAGTCGTCGTCCTCAATTAGGATCAGCAACTTACCAGATCAATCAAGCTTCAATCGTCATAGGCTGACTTGCTTGTGTTCAAGATTCGCCTATTGTTGGCACCAGCGATCGGAGATTGCAGAAGCAAACTGCACGTAACTGAGGTTGGACCAACGAAACTGGCCATGCGCCGGAGCAAGCACCGGGCAGAAATGTTCTCCGACCGCGGTAGTTTCAAACGTCGTGTCGACCGGCAGCACGCTGCAATGCACATGGTGGCAGATCACTAAAAACACCAAGAGATCGACTCGGCCATTGCCCCACAAACCCCCGACAGTTACGCGCGACAAGAATTGGCCCTCAGCGTTGTAGGTGTCCTCATTTAGGATCAGCAACTTACCAGATCAATCGAGCTTCAATCGTCATCCGCTCCTTTGTTCTTCCTCTAGGTCTCGACGCAAGCATGCCTCTTGCCAGGGTTGACTGGCTGTTCTGGTGTTGGGCATGGCCTGGACGTCTCATAAGTCTCATATATCAATATCCGTAAACATCTCCTCTGCTGCAACAGAACCTAGGATTACAGCACATCAACCCCGCGGCTTGAAACTAGGCAGAACGACATTCGTGCTGCTCTGCGGCTCCACCTGACTTCGAAAGGGCACACACAGACACACCGTATGCTGGCACGGCTGCATCACACGTTCTTGCCACAAAGGTTTCACGCGGCCTGTATGTTGGAGCCGTCCACAGGAAACACTTCAAAAGAAACCTGTACAGCCGTGGCGCGCCTGCACGGATCAAGAGGAAAGCGGCACTAAAAGAACCAGCATGGCTATGCGGATATGCACGCAATAGAGTTGCTCAAACGGACAGCCTGGGATCTGCAGCCTCGGCATTGCCTCTGCACGGTTCATGAAATGTTGTCGGTCTGTCTTTGAACAGGTCCTTCTGTCCTGTCCTGCAGTTGCTCCGCCAACTTCAAGCGCAACACACGAGAACACCAAAAGTGCTCCGCATGCCATGGGTTGGCCGGCCTCAGGATAACCAGGCTTGCTTGACGTGCTGCGACCGTTCTGCGCATATGTTTGCGGCGATCTTGACCAAAGTCCCGCAACCGGTGCTGGATGCAATGGAGCGATCTGCAATCACAATCATTGTTGGGTTCATGGCTCTGCGGCGTATTCTTTTTGACGAAATCCTGGCAGAGTTCACTGGAAAACCGCCAGAACATCAAGAACTTTCGGCAGCAGGCGATCCTGCGTGTTGATCTGCTTCTCACGAAGCACATTAGCTTCAGAGGCCTTGTGCTGTAGTGCTCGCACGCGTGACCATGAACTTCCAGAAAAGTCTGAGCTGATAAGAACCACACATGGCGGCAAAGGCATGCCAGATGCCACTTTGGAGCGCTCTGCTCGCCTGGCTTGCAACCATGACCTCAGTACAAAGCATCGTTGTGAAACATGCTAGACCCCGGAGTGCTGAGGCCGCGGCGGT